ATGTGGGTGTGGGTGTGGATATGGGTAAGGATGTGGCTGTGGGTGATGATGTGGGCGTGGGTATAGATGTGCGTATAGGTGTGGATGTGGGTATGAGTGTGGGTGTCAGTGTGGATGTGTGTGTGTGTGTGTGTGTGTGTGTGTTATAATCTTTTCTCCAGCTTTACCATATTTAACACTCATACCCACACTCTATTAATAATGATCATCTTGTCGATCAACAGTTAATATTGGAGAGCAAATATTGCAGGGGAGCAAATGTAACGAGAACAAATGTCCGGGGAGCAAGTGTCGCGGAGGCAAATGTCCCGGGAGCATCTTTCATGGGTTCTATCATGATATTCTTCTCATTTTTCCTGTCTACCAGTATAGAGTCTTTCTGTTATTGTTACTATGAGGTCTTGGGTGTTTTAGACGAACCCTTGTTGAGATTCACGCAATAATTCGTGCGAAACATTTCCGGGACAATCATTACAGTCACTATAGTTTTCAAAGATGATAACGTATACCAATCAATTTATACAATTTATATAGTCGTAAATAGCCATTGATTGAAATTTGATAGGCATAGTATTGGAATCATATTTTATCGTTGTGTACTCAGTTAATAATGACCGTAAAACCATCTGAAAATCGAATATTCGTTCTTTTATTGCGCAATGACATGTGATGGTAATACTACGCCTACCGAAAAGCAGAACACTTTCTGAAATGGCTGTTTACTATCACACTTGTATGATATGAACTTGTTCAGAGAGAAAAGATGACTAATTGTGCTTCATATTTTTTTGTTTTTTTTATAACTGGACCGAGCTATCGATATTCCTTGCGGATCTACCATGCTGCCTTTTTTGAGGTACCGAAACCATAATCTTTTTCTACCGGGGACACAAAAGATACGATGACAGAAGATAAGGTCTTTTTTGTCGAGATAGATATTTGATTGAAGGTTATCTTTCAGCATCATTTTTCTAGTACTGGAGGAGAACTTCTTAGAGAAATTTTGAAAAACTTCTTTTAACAAACTAGATTTTAAATAATCTCTTAGCACGACTATTTTTCTTTTGGGAGTTTGAATCGGATGAAATCGAATAAAACCAATTTTGGTTTAGAATTTTTCGATTTCATTTAGGTTAAGGATTTCTTTCGTTTCAGCTTTGACTGTAATGTGTTTCGTCATTTCAGATGGCATTGAAGAAAAAAGAACATACCATTTTTTTCAAGCTCGATCCAGTATTCACAATAACAAGTCAGAGCATAGCCGTTTCTAGTAGCGGAACGCTTGATCTCTATCTTTTTTACATTAAATAAATATCGCAATTTCGAACACAACCACTTTTTGGTAAAGCTAGAGACGCGTTCGAAGACCCCGTGTCTTCTTATCTGTTTTATCGGTTATAAATTACAACAAGGATCTTGTATTATGTCCCTAAGAAAGGAATGTTTTCTTGCTACTCTTGACTATGTGATTTCTATGAGTTTTTAACGTTCTTTATGTTGTTTTTAAAGAATTATTGAACTGTTTGACAGTATTACAATCAAGTAAAGTTGATACTATATTAAAAGAAAATTTCATAAAACTAGCATTTTAATTATTAAGTGTAAAAAGTTACATAAAGTGGAATTAATTGACACTTAAATATGGAAGTATTTTTTATTAAATCTTGATGAACCTTTTAATAGTCGCTTTCAGAGGGATCGGGAAATGTTTTATGATGGCTTAGAAAACAGTAGAAAAGAGTTTGTTGTATGTTGCACTTTTATAAACGTTCTAAAGGTTTATTATTGTATGTCTTTTTTACAGTATTCTCTGGTATTTCGCTTGTAGCTCCGTCGTACTCCTACGATACTTCCATGTATTCCCCTCGGTAGTCAGAACATTTTGACATAGATGAACTCTTACTTTTTCTTCCTTGAATCGCACCCAACGCATCTCTTCTAAATCCGCCACTGTTTTATACATTTTAAAAACACCTACAACCACATCTAAATGTTTTGTCACTTGAAAATTATACACGAAAGCGTTTAGACTCATCTGTTTTGTAATTAATGTTTACATGAACCAAACTGATCATCAAGACCTAATTTATCAGGATATGAAGAAACTGATGACGAGTGTTGTGATTAGATTATTAAGACTTAGCAATATGACACTTATCATTATAACAAATCATTACCTTCTCAACTAATTCTAGATATATTGGATTCAAAGATAAAACAGCAAATATTCAATTATAAATGAAGATCTTTCTCTAATTAATGAGTCTTCTAGTAAAATCTAGGTCATAATAGCAAATTTCAGAATGGTATCAGATCGCAAAAACGATTTTTCTTTTTTCAATCCATTTTTCGATATTCTGTTGTATTGAAAGTCATCTTTTCATCACATATAAACTCAACAAAAAGAATGTTCTCTGTGAGATTATATGAATTTAATCCAACATATAAGATACTACTAAACTGTGAGTGCTACATATCTATCACACTTTCGATTTTTACAGTACTATGCAAATAAATACTTGTAACAAAACAGCTCATACTTTTGTAAAATATATATACTTCGCGTAAAATATTCATCAACAAAATTCTGGATGACACGAAAAGCCTACCTCGGTTTTTAACATTTATTTGTCGACAAAACACAAAATCTTGCATCTCTTTCATCTCACTTGATAAAATAAGACTAAGTCGTGATATAGCCGTCGAACATTTATCGCCGTTTTTTCTCATCGAAGTTGATGAAAACAATTGTTCACAAAGATGTTTAAATCTTTGAGTTAAGGCTCGAATTGTTCTTTCTTCAAACAAATCACTTGAAGAAACAAAAGAATAGGACAGTTGATTATCATCTGATGATGGCTTGTAAAGAAATCTGACTAAAAAGTCAAATTTAGCCATTTCATATAATTCTTCCAACGATACTTCTTCTAAGATGACACCATTCAAACATAAATCATTATCTTCATTGGATATAGTAATACAATCAAACATTGTCTCAAGAAATGATACATTTGATTGAGTGAGGTGTAAATCAGCGAGAATATGTTGAAGTGGATAATGAGAATGCTCAAGAATTGATAAACA